CACTAATCTCATCCTTGTATCGCTGCTTGTCGACTTGAGCTTTGGCTTCATATGGCTCTTTTTCCTCAGCTATAGTTACAACCAAACATATACACAATTGGGGAATTAAAACACATTCACATGCTGAAGTAAAACCAAGAAATGTAGTTTTTTCTTTTGAAAAGGTTCTTTAAATTTTACCAGACATTTGGCGCCACTTATCTCCAAGCACCTTTCCCACCTCTCCAAATGCTATTCCTGGGTGTTCCTTCTTTATGTTCTGTTCAGTCCACAAATGGATAATCAGGAATGCTAAGTTTGTCGGATTTGTAAATTGTGCTCTCGTCTACGTAAAAGACTGCTGATACTCCATTCCGCAACTTAGTCTACATCATAGAGCTAAAAGTAAAACAAAGGAGAGAAGAACTCACATCTCTTTCCATTTGGGAAAAGTACATGAAACCAGACATCGCTCTTTTTGGTGCGTTGGGATCCTTCTTCTTCTTCGGCTTTTTCCTCTTGCTACTGCCTTCGTCTGCGGCTGACACTTTTCTTTTATGAGGCAATCCTTTCGATGACGAAGCCTCTTTCTTGGGTTCCTTCTTGATAGATTTCTGAAACAAGTCAATGACAGGGAGATATGAGAAACAAATAGTTCTGCTGCTGAAAGAGTTCAAATGAAGAATGTGACAAAAGTTACCTCTTTCTCTCCTCCACCGCCTTCACTAGCATCAGAGTCGTCCTCGCCAGAATCATCAGTTGGTGAACCGCCGTCATCATCCTCACCCATAACAAAGTCTTCGTCCTTCATAAATTAGAAGTATCGAATGTCAAAAACGTAATCATTAGAATATGAAGTAATTCGGTCAGACATAAAGTACTTGCCTCCTCATCACTCTCATCAGCAGCTTGGTTTTTGATACGCTCAAGATGAGGGTCAACAGCATCATCATCATCATCATCCCCAAGAACAGCAGCAACACCATCTGTGGTTCCCGCACCTCCAAGGTTCATAATCTTCAAACCCTTGGAGCTGCAGCAAGAAAAGATAATGATTACTTACCACAAAAATTAAATGCACTCTCAGTAAATACAGATGGAGATAAGGAAATAATCGTGCTAACCTTATGAAGGTATAGAGATTATGATACTCATTCCTTTGAATGTTACGGAACAGATGTTCATGATCAGTTTTCAGTCTTATGAGAAGATCAAAGTAATGCATATTAGCACCACCAGCAGCATGCCTTTCAAACTCAACATAGTCAATCTAAAAACGAAAAACAAACGGGTTAGACAACCCAACTCTATCTCAAAGCCTATCAAAAATATCCAGTCCTTAATAACCACAATTTACCTCATCATGAAGTATAAGCGTTGGAGGTTTAGGTAAGAAGAAAAATCCCTTCTCGAGTGGATAAAGAACCCCATCTTCTGCCTTGAGAGATGATTTCACTGCAAACCCATCTTGGGAACTGCGGAACTTCCCAGGTTTAGTGATCTTTGCACCAGACAGCCAACGCAACACGGTGGTGAATACTTCATGAATGAGACCCTGAAAATTCATAACCAAATCCTTAGCAATCAGTGTATGTAGAATTGTTTTGATTCAATAACGTAAGTGCAGACCAGACAGAAACCTTATATGATCGCTCCAGCTTGTCCTTGAACTTTGTATTCATAAGATCATCACTAATTGACAGTTCACTTTCGACGACGGTGTCTGTCTCAAACTAGAGAAGATGGAAAAACAGATATGTAAATCAGAGTAAAAAAGAAAGAAACTTATACATAAATTGAAATGGAAGGAAAAATATAAGTAAAGTTTACCTGCATCACAATGTGGGGGTACATTGTCTGACCTTTCCGGATTGGTGGGTCAAGAGAGATAACAACAAAAGTGTGTGGTTGGTTTGACTGCTCAGGCATTAAACAGAATACGAATTCAATTAATAGGAACAAGATTCAGTGATCATAATATGATAATCTGTTAATCTGATGACTGCTAACATAAGTAAATGCCCTGAGATATGCTTATAAAAAGAATTACCTTTGGAAGCAAGAACAACCGGACAACACTACTGTATTGGATTTTAAAGTCATTAGCTTGTCCTTGCAAACGTAAGAAAGAAAGGTGAAGTTCCACACTGTACCGACCCCTGTGAAAGAAAAAAAAAACGAATTATTTAGTCATGACAAGATGCAACCATACAATAGTGCAACAAATGTTTAAGTGGTCAACTCTTTACCTGGGTGTGAGGATTGCAATACTATCAAATGTGACGACCGCGTCCTCAACTCCAGAACTAACATCAGCCATTGCAACGATTGTGTCATTGAAAACCTGAGACATGCTCTTAGCATCAACAGAAAAAAAAAAAAAAAACAAACTCGAGACACATACATATAATTAAAAAGGTTTGGGAACTTACATGAGAAGGTGGACGGTTTTCATCACCAACAAACTGGGTGTTGGAACTAGGAATATGAAAACAAATCTCCATCAACGAGTCTTTCTGTAAACACGTAGAATATAATCAGTAAACCAGCTAACGTATGTACCCTTACATACAAAACAGCCTAGAGATGACATATCTAAGAAACCAGATTGAAATAGAAAGTACCTCATTAGCACCAGCAGTATCATCAACATGAAACTCCAGAGTAACATCATCTTTCCCTTGAATCTGAGTCTGTGAAACATCAGCTAAAGATACTTCAAAAGCTTGCTTTGATCCAACCAAAAAGGTTAGTGTATTCCCTACACAACGAAACAAAAACTTCTCCTTTAAAATCCACAAATAAACTAGACAACAACCTTAAGTGTGCCTAAAAGTTATAACAACTCTCACCATGTAAATCAACCTCTCCCCAATTACGACCACTAATCGATAACTGCTTCTCTTCCGGTGTTTTTCCATAAGAACTTTGGAAAAAGCTACTCAGACTTGGAACATCCTATAAACCAAACAAACACAAAAATCTCAAAACAAAACAAATATCATATCAAAACAGAAGCAAGAAGATATATATAAACACAAACCTGATCTCTAAATCCAACGAACTTATAGTACAATCCATCTTTGGTTTTGACTCCCAATCGATTACTCTTTGTAACTTTTGTCCAACTAACACTTACAATATCAGATCTATCAACTTCCACAGCTTTTCCACCACCTTGTTTCTTCCATTGAATTCCTCCAGAATTGATTTTAAGTAGACCCGGGTTCTAAAAGTACCAAAATTGAAACCCTAATTAGCCCTTAAAAACCCTAAAAAACTACCGCAGCTTTCAACAATTGTAAACAAGAAAACAACACAATTGAAAAATGAAAGCGACAATCTTTTTTTTTTTTGCCCTAATTTTTTGTCATTCGTTTCTTTTGGAATTGAGCGGCGGAAGTAGAAACGGATACAGGGAGAAGAAATTAGGGTTTTTGAAGGAAGAGGAAAAGGTGAAAACTTTGAAGGAAGTGAAAGATCTTGAGAGATAGAGAGATAGAGAGAGAGATAGAGTACCGTTCCGCCGCGGCCGCTGAGGGAGATGCTATTGAAGGAATGGCTATCCGTCATGGTTTCCGGTGAGGGTCACGAGAGAGAGCGAAAGACAGAGAGAGAGTGATTTTTTTTTTTTAACACATTGATATGAACTTATTATATAGATACTCAGGCGGTGGTGCGCTGCGTTTTCTAAAATTAAATAAAAATTTATTTTTATAAAATAAGTAGAAAAAAAAATTAATTAATTTTGGCAAGAAAATTTATTCTCGAAATTTGATTTTTCGGTTTAGTTGAATTTTGAGTTTATGGTTTTTCAGATTTGGGAATTTTATTAAACCGAATTTTATATCAAAACGGTACAAAAATGGGTTATTTTGAGTTTTGGATTTTTCACATTTGGAAAAAGCTTCCTTATAAAACATTTTATATCAAATTAGTTGAAAAATGTTTTTTTTTTTTGGGTTTTTCGGTTTAATCGAATTTTGAGCTTTATAAAACCGAAGATTTATATCAAATGTACAAGTGCATTTCGGTTGTCCGGTTCTTAATTTTTACCCCTAAGAAAACGAATTTCAAGTTTAGGGGCTAAAACATTCTTTTTTTTTTGTCATCCGCAATTAATTAGAACTCAAAAGAGGCATTCCTGAGGAATGTTGTTTACATAGGTGATATGATGCGGTTCTGTACGAACATTTCGTACCAGATTATCCGCCTTAACATTAGCCCTACGAGAAATTAAAGATAAAGAAAAAGATGAAAACTCCTCTTTGTCACTCTGAAATTCCTCCAAATACACTGAAAACGCCGGCCATTCCGTTGGAGAAGACACCATCTTCACCAGGTCTGAACAGTCTGTAAAGAACGCTACCTCTTGATTATCTGCACCAATCATACACTTCATCGCCCAGAGAAGGGCCTCGACTTCGGCATGTAGTGGAGATAGACTTCTACGGAGGTTCGCAGCTCCCATGGTTGGCGGCTCTCCATTTGACGATGTACAGAACCAGCCTGTACCGGAGAACTTATCACTTTCTTTCCATGATCCATCCACAAAACAACGGTATCCCGAATACTCCGTATCAAGTGAAAAATCCCTCACTCGATCTTGATTTACCAAGTCCACAGAACCATGATTTTCATTATGGAGCTCAATTTGAGCTGACTGCCACAATTGTGCTTCTTTTTCCGCTATCGTAATACTTCTGCTGGGTCTGTATCTATGTTTTCAAATACCTTTTCGTTCCTTGCTTTCCAAATATACCAAATAATCCATGAAACTGCTGATGAATCAAATTCCGTAGGTATTCTCCAAAATAAGTGATCCAAATTCGTAAAATTAGATTCCGTGGGAAAAATCCCCATAGCCGTAGGAATCTGTGAAAGTGCCCAAATCTGCCGTGCCGGGTGGCACTGAAAGAGTGTATGATTGATCGTTTCTTCTGATGCGCCACATCTGGCACATTCCGTGTCACAATCAATTCTTCTTTTCCGTAAATTTTCCGTAACTTTTAAAACATTCATTTGTTTAAATCTTAACTTTTAAAATAAATAGACAGCCAAAAAAGAGGTCCGACATTTTCTCTATTGTTCAAACATTACCAAATGGAAACAAGCTCATACTAGTACATGCTGTATTAACCTCAATAACCAAACTAGTAAGACTTTTATCCAATGTGACTATAATAAATTACCCTGCACTGCCTGAATTCTTCAGAACTGTTTTCTTTTGCTTCTGAAGAGTCTATCTCTTTTTGAGTACACGTAACCCAAAGCCATTAACCCGAATCCTGACACTGAAACAGTTCCCCATGGGAACGGAGGATCTTTGAAACAGTTGAGACTCGCTTCTACCTGTTGTGATGCGAGGTACACCACTGAATGGACTGAGTACAAGTCGTGCGCTGCTGATCTCAGGTAGTACAAAGCCATCTCGAACTCATTGTGTGATAGAGCAGAAACCGTTTTATCCAGTTTGTACTGCAAAAGATTCCACCTTTGCATGAACTCAGAGTGTCGATTCTGTTTGCGTAGGATCACATCTCCTCCATAAGCAACCGCGGAATCAATAACATCGATCGCACTTGTGATAGTTGTGTTCAATGATGTCAAAAGCACGTTTCTCTTAGCAGCGTCTTTCTGAACAAACGATAGAGACGATATATCAGAGAAAGGTCCAAACGGTGTTTGCCCAATGCTCCATGTATAATCAACCAGAGTTGTGTTATGTCTCGGGCTCCAAGTCAAATGAGTAGAAGACACACCCCACATACTCTGTAAAATGGAACCAACCAGAGGTCGTTCTAAGTCTCTCGTATGAACAAACACATGACGCCCATTGCAAGTATAATCACTCACAGTTTGAGTTCCTCTAGTTCTAACAGCAATAACCATATCTCTAAAAGCAACAGACTGATGATACCGATCAAGCAACAAAGGCGTATTGATATCCAAATCAAACACATAAACAGGTAAAACCCTAGCAAACTCATTTCCTTCTTCTTCAACAATCCCCGCAACTCTCCTCAACTCCTCAGCCGAATCAGTCAAAGCCCGATGCATATGCTTGGAATCCAAATACTCACTCACAATCAGCGTATAGTTATCAAACAAAAACCTAGACGTATACGAATTCATCCCACGAGATACCGCAAACGAACAAATCGGACATTCTCTATAATTCACACTATAACTCTTAAAACTCAACTTCTGTTCTCCTAACAACAACCCACCATTCTCAGCTTCATCCATAAAAGTTCTCTTCACAAACTCCCAATCTAACCCACTCGAATCCTTAACCTCCGACCCATACACATGAATCAACTGAACCACCAACGTGTCCTCAAAGTACACAGGAATTCTCAAAGAAGGACAATC